CGTCGTCGCCGTCGCCGTCGCCATCGCCGTTGCCGTCGTCGTCGTCGTCGTCGTCGTCGTCGTCGTCGTCGTCGTCGTCGTCGTCGTTGTCTTCGTCGTCGCCGTCGTCGTCGCCGTCGCTGTCGCCGCCGCCGCCGTCGTCGTCTTTGTCGTCGTCGTCGCCGTCGCCGTCGCCGTCGCCGTCGCCGTCGCCGTCGCCGTCGCCGTCGCCGTCACCGTCGCCGTCGCCGTCGTCGCCGCCGCTGCAGTCGTCGTCGTTTTTCGTCCATTGCCCTCTCCCTGGCCCTTTGCCCGCGCGGAGAGGCCGAGGTAGTTCTCGCGGACGGCAGCATCGTGAAGGCCCCGCGGGCGGGGCGGCGCAACGGGGCGTCTCGCCGGGGGGCCCGTGGCGCCGTGAGTCCGATGCGAGGGGCTCGTGGGGTTTGTCCAGGGGGGTTGTCCCAATGTGGGGTCGGGGAGGTGGCCCGGCTGGGAGCCGTTCGGAGCTGTTTTTCTTTGGCGCCGCCTCTGCCCTTCACCGCCCTCACGGGGGTCTCTGACAGCAGAGGTCGGTCAGCAATGCATTTTTGGTTGTTTTTTTGGATTTTGCCAGCAGCCGGGGGCGCGGTCCGATGTTGTCAGTCAACAGGGAAACGTTTCGCACGGGGCTGGGGACCATACCCGCGTCGTCGAGGGAGCACGTTGCCGTAATTATAAGTCGGGCCTGTCCCTCTACAGGGGGAATCTTCAAAAATAGGTAAAAAATAGTCTGGGGACTATTTTATGTGTATTTCTAACATTTTGGAGTATTATTTGATTTTTTTTTACTTTTTCGTCAAAAATCTCCCTGTCCCTGTAGGGGGACACGCCCGACTTAACCGTAATTCCAACGGGGCTGTGGGGGGTGGGATGGGGGCGCGAAGCCAAAGCAAGTCCAAATGGGATCAAGTGCGGACTCAGCCCGTGGAGGCCCGTCGGCTGTTGCTCTTGATGTGACCGGGCCAACATGTCGGGCGCAGCCGTCTTCTGGAATTCATCAAGTATCGCTGTTACCCAGACCTCCGATGTGTATGTATGAATTCCTGCGTGTATGTATGTATGCATGCATGTATGCATGCATGCATGTAGTTTCTTTACGTAGGTATTTATGCACGTATGCATGTGTACATACATGAATGCATGTATGCATGCATGCATGCACGCATGAATGAATTAGTGCATGCATGCATGTCTTTATGCATGCATGCATGCATGCATGCATGCATGCACGCATGTATTTATGCATGTACGGCTGCATGTATGCATGTATATATATACACATACATATAAATATATATACGTACGCACGCATGCATGTATGTATGCATGTAGGTAGGTAGACAGGTATTTCGGTAGGTAGATCGGCATGCCAGTTTGTATGTATGTATGTATGTATGTATGTATGTATGTATGTACGCATGTATGTTTGTGTATATATATATATATATATATATATATGCATGCATGTATGCATGCACATACGTACATACGTACGTAGGTAGGTATGTATACCTGTATGTATGCACGCATGTATGTATGTATGCATGCATGCATGCATGTATGTATTTTTGTTTGTTTGTTTGTTTGTTTGTTTGTTTGTTTTGTATGTATGTATGTATGTATGTATGTATGTATGTATGTATGTATGTAATGAATGTATGTATGTATGTATGTATGTATGTATGTATGTATGTATGTATGTATGTATGTATATCTGCCGGCGGAAGGGGATCGGGGCCGCCAGGCTGGTACCTGCGCCCCCCATGGCCGCTCCGGGGCTGCGGGAGCGCTCCTGTCCGGGCCAAGAGGCGGCCAAGACGTGCCCAGGGAGGCGCAAGTGGCCCCCAAACCGGTCCTAGACGGCCCCGGGGTGCTCAAAGATCGCCCCTGGACGCTCAAAATGGCTCCCATAGAGCCCAAGAAGCCGCTACAACACCCCAAGTTGCTTTCCAAGAGAGCCCCGAGCGGCCAAAATCATTGATTTTGCATAGGAAAACGTACATTTTTAGCATCTACGACTTTTCGGTCTTCACGGCGTACACGAGGGTACAAGAGGCCCCCACGACGGCCCCAAGACGGCCCAAGAGGCTCCCAACACGGCCCAAGAGGAGCCCAAGACAGCCCCAGAGGCGGCCAAGGCGTGCTCAAGAGGTGGCCAAGACGTGTCCACGAAGCCCCAAGAGGCTCCCAAATCGGTCCAAGACGGCCCCAGGGCTCTCAAATGTCGCCTCTGGACGCCCAAGATGGCTCCCATAGAGCCCAAGAGGCCGCTACGACGCCCCAAGAAGCTTTCCAAGGGAGCCCCAAACGGCCCAAATCATTAATTTTTGCACAGGAAGCGTACATTTCTAGCATCTACGACTTTTCGGTCTTCACGGCGTGCACGAGGGTACAAGAGGCTCCAAAGACGGCCCCAAGAGGCTACCAACACGGCCCAAGACAGCCCGAGGGGCGGCCAAGGCGTGGCAAGAGGGCCCATGAGGCTCCCAAAACGTTCCATGGAGGCCCCGGAGCGCTCAAAGCTAGCCCTTGGACGCCCAAGACGGTTCTCACAGTGCCCAAGAGACATCCTAATGCTGATGATGCTGCTGATGATGATGGTGCTGATGATGATGCTGCTGCTGATGATGATGTTCATGTTGATGATGATGTTGATGATGATGATGATGATGATGATGATGATGATGATGATGATTCTGATGATGATGCTGATGGTGGTGGTGGTGATGATGATTATGCTGATGCTGATGATGCTGCTGATGATGATGGTGCTGATGCCGATGATGCTCGATGATGGTCGGTGATGGTGATGGTGATGATGCTTGCTGATGCTGCTGCTGTTGATGATGTTGACGACTATGATGATGATGATGATGATGATGATGATGATGGTGATGATGCTGATGGTTCTGATGATGATGATGATGATGATGATGATGATGATGGTGCTGGTGATGATGATGCTGCTGCTGATGACGGTGCTGATGATGATGTTGATGATGATGTTGATGATGATGATGCTAATGGTTGTGGTAATGGTGATGATGATGATGCTGATGGTGGTGGTGATGCGTCTGATGATTAAGATGATGCTGATGGTGATGATGATGATGAGGATGATGATGCTGATGGTCGGTGATAGTGATGATGATGCTGATGCTGATGCTGGTGCTGATGCTGGTGCTGATGCTGCTGCGGCTGCTGCTGTTGATGATGATGATGATGATGATGGTGCTGACTATGATGGTGATGACAACGGTGATGCTGATGATGCTGGTGCTGGAGATGCTGGGGATGATGATGATGATGCTGTTCATACTGATGATGATGTTGATGATGAGGATGCTGATCATGATGATTGATGATGCTGATGGTGGTGGTGATGATGATTATGCTGATGGTGGTGGTGATGATGATGGTGGCGATGATGATGATGATGATGATGATGCTCGATGATGGTCGGTGATGGTGACGATGATGCTGATGTTTGCTGATGCTGCGGCTGCTGCTGCTGTTGATGATGATTACGATGATGATGATGATGTTGATGATGATTCTGATGATGATGCTGATGGTGGTGGTGGTGATGATGATGATGCTGACTATGATGATGATGATGATGATGATGATGATGATGATGATGATGGTGATGATGATGATGATGATGCTGACGATGATCATGGTGCTGATGATGATGGTGATGATGATGCAGTTTCTGATGATGCTGATGCTGCTGATGATGTTGATGTTCATGCTGATGCTGCTGATCATGATGTTAATGCTGATGGAGATGACGATGCTGATGGTAGTGCTGATGATGCTGATGATGATCCTGATGATGATGATGATGATGATGATGATGCTGACGATGATGACGATGACGATGACGATGACGATGACGATGACGATGATGATGATGATGATGATGATGATGATGATGATGATGACGATGACGATGACGATGACGATGACGATGACGATGACGATGACGATGACGATTGATGATGATGATGATGATGATGATGATGATGATGATGATGATGATGATGATGATGAAGATGATGATGATGATGATGATGATGATGATGATGATGATGATGATGATGATGATGATGCCCATCGATGATCAGACGGTGGGACTTGTACGCAGGCGTGCCCGTTGCCACCATGCTTGGCAGCGCGTCGCGCCCGCCCCGAAGAAAGGCCAGCGCCTGCAACGCGTACTCGGATCTCTTCCGTGCGCTCCGCGGCGGCGGCGGGTCTTTCGGCCTCATCACGAAGGCAGCGCCGCCTGGCCCCCCCTGCTTGATGGGAGGAGGAGACCCTTGATCCCCTCACGGCATGCGCAACACACAACTGACAGTTTTTGTCCGTATTCGACTTCAGGAGGCTCGCAGGGCTCCAGGGCAGTGGACAGGAGCGAGTCGGGATGAGCACGTGGTCTTGTGGGAGGGGCAGGGACGTCTGGGGGCCCACGTTGCAACAAAAACAAGACGTCGGTGGTCTGGGGATATGGGGAGGGGGAGGAGGAGGGGAAGGGTTGATGAGGACCAGGGCAAACCCAAGATGCATCAGCGATGCTGCAAGACATCCGCCCGTCCTTGAAGGACGAGCACCCTGGAAGGACGAGCACCCTTGAAGGGCGAGCACCCTTGAAGGACCAGCACCCTTGACGGACGAGCACCCTTGAAGGACGAGCACCCTTGAAGGACGAGCTCCCCTGAAGGACCAGCACCCTTGAAGGACGAGCACCGTCGAGGGACGAGCACCCTCGAAGGACGAGCACCCCTGAAGGGCGAGCACCCTTGAAGGACGAGCACCCTTGAAGGACGAGCACCCTCGAGGGTGGAGCACCCTTGAATGACGAGCACCCGTCATTGCAAGCCCCCACTTTGAGGGACCAGCACCCCACGTGCCTGTCATGTTTTGAACATGAACTGCCTTGCATCTCTTTGGTGCCCTCTCCTCCTCCCCCTCCTCCCTCTCCTCCCCCTCCTCCTCCTCCTCCTCCTCCTCCTCTTCCTCCTCCTCCTCCCCCTCCATCTCCTCCGCCCCCTCCCCCTCCCCCTCCTCCTCCTTCCCCCCTACGGGCCTGCCATGTTCCCCAATCAGAGCTTGCCTCTGTAGGGGTCCTAGCAGATTTCATTCCCAAATCAGAGCTTGCCTCTTTAGGGGTCCTAGCGGATTCATATGGTTAGGTTGGGTTTGTCGCCGATTTTCGCCGCACGCCCGGGTGCCCGGGTGCCCGGGGGTGCCCGGGTGCCCGGGTGCCCGGGTGCCCGGGTGCCCAGGTGCCCGGGTGCCCAGGTGCCCCGTAGCTCTATGTATCCCTATAAGCCCTATAGCCCTGTAGCCCTATAGCCCTAATAGCCCTATAACCTTATAATAGCCTTATAGCCCTATAGCCCTATAGCCCTATAGCCCTACAGCCCCATAACCCTATAGCCCAATAGCCCTATAGCCCTATGGCCCTGTAGCCCTGTAGCCCTATAGCCCCATAGCCTTCTAGCCCTATAGCCTTATAGCCCCACAGCCCTAAAGCCCTAACAAGATAATGATTGGGGTTTTTCTCCAGTATCATTCTGAAAAGGAACTGCTTTGCACCGCTCTGGCGGGCCGGACGGGCTGCGAATCTGTATGAGCACACCGTCCAGCTAGGTGTCCAGCGAGATCCCCGTTCTGACACCAGCGCCCAGCCGGGTATATAACGGTTGCACATGTTGGTGCTTTTGGACATGAGCGCCGAGGAGGTCCCAAGTCAGAGCCCAATTTCGAAAAGGAAGCGCCCCCCATCTTCCCGTTCATGCCCCACTGCATTTGTTAATGTTCTGTTGTGCGCTGTTGGGGAAGTATGAAGGGAGAACCCCGCTTCGAACAGGAGCCGCCCCCCATCCCTGTAATTGCTACAAGCTCACAGGACGACTGTGCGCAGCGCTAAGGCGAGAGCCTCATGCCCACCAGCCTTGTGACTGCTTCATTTTGAAAGCCCATCGCCCTCTATCCTTACAAGTATTGCGAGCTTTTCAGGCGAATGTGCGAGGCGCTAAGGCGAGAGCTTCTGTTCAAAACGATCCACCTCCATCCTTGTAGTTGTAGACGTACCAGGCTTAATCATCCGAAGCTTTGAGGAAGTCTCAGGCGAAACGCCAGGTCCGTCCTACTGACACCTCTGGTGGTCAGACGAGGAGGAGTGACCTATCTCAGATGCCCACGGCGAATCACCGCCGCCCCCTGTCTTCTGGAAACGCCCATGCGGCCAAACTTTGGGCCGAAGTCTGGCCAAGCTATTGGGCTATGTGTGCTTCCAGTCGTTGTGGAAACTCTTGGGGGAACATTGTGTAGATGAAGATCGAGGAGGAGGAGGAGGATGAGGAGGATGAGGAGGAGGAGGAAGAGGAGGAGGAGGAGGAGGAGGAGGAGGAGGAGGAGGGAGGCTAATGAATCAGATGAGGCCTCTTGAAGCCCTCTTGAGGCCTCCTGGGGGCTTCCTGTGAGCAGTTTTGGGGCTCTTAAGGGGCGTCTTGGGGGCCTCCCGGGGCCTCTTGGGGTTCTCTTGGGGCCTCTTGGGGACCTCATAGGGGCATCTGGGTGCCTCTACGAGACCTCTTGGCCTTCGAGGGCCGTCTTGAGGCCCGCCTTAAGGCCGTCTTGGAGGTCTCCGGTGCCGTCTAGCTGCCGTCTGAGGGCCTCCTGTGCTGCCTTGGGGCCCTCTTGTTTTCGTGGCCTCTTGCGCCGACCCGTGGCGGTTTTCGGAGCCTATGGGCCCGTCCTGGAGTTTCGGAAGCCCGGACAGGCGAGAACGCTGACATTGGCGACAGAAGCGTTGACAATCATGAAGGTTGACCTCCTGGAGGTTCTTTTGTTGCGCCTCTTGGGGCGTCTAAGGTGCCTCTTGGCCTTCTGAGGCCGTCTTGGGCTCTCCCTGAGCAGCCGTGGGTCCCTCGTTGGGGGCTTCAGGGCCGTCCTGAAGGTCTGTGGGCCCGTCTTGGTGCCGTCTTTGGGGGCCTCTTGGGCTGTCTTATGGGCGTCTTGCCAGCCTCTTGGGGGCCTTTTGGGCCGTCTTGGGGCGATCTTGGGGGTCCCATGGGCCCGTCTTGGAGCGTCGGATGCCCGAACAGGCGAGAATGCTAAAATCATTGAAACACTTACGGAACAACATGGATTTTGGCCTCCTGGATGTCCTCTTGGAGCCTTCCTGGGGCGTCTGAAGGGCCTCTTGGCCTTCAGAGGCCGTCTAGGGCCCTCCCTGGGCAGTCGTGGGTCCTTCTTTGGGCGCTTTAGGGCCGTCTTGGAGGACTAGGCCCGTCTCGGGGCCGCCTTAGACCCATCTTGGACCGTTTTCGGGCCCTCTTGGGCAGTCTTTCGGGTTACTCGGGGGCCTCTTGGGCCGTCTTGGGGTGATCCGGGGGGCGGGGCTATGGGCCCGTCTTGGGGCGTCTGAAGCCCCAAAAGGCGAGAACGCGGAAATCCTTCAAAACCTCAGGGGGATCAATGATTTTGGCATCCTTGATACACCTTAGGCGATGCTTAAGAAAACTTAAATTTTCGGCCAGAGTCTCCATTATTCTTAATGTTTCAATGTAGATCCTAATGTTTGAATGGGAATTTTGGGTTTTATTCAAGTTCTGAGACTATGAATTTCTTAACCCACGATTTCTTAAGCATTTCGCAGGGTGTATCTTCTCGGAGCCCTCCTGGGGCGTCCGATAGGTCTCTCGGGCCGTCCGGAGGACTCGTCTCGGAGACCATGTTGGCCGTCTTGAACGCGATGGGGCAAATGGAGACATGATTTTCCCCGGCTTTTCCGCACGGCCAGCGGGTTGGGCCGAGACCCCGCGGTGTTTTTTTTTTGTTTTTGTTAAAAAAAGAAAAGTACATAACTCTTGCCAGACGTTAGGCATGCCGTGCACCGCCGAGTCTGTGACGCAAGTTGGCCCTCTACAGGGGGGGCACTCGAAAATAGCTAAAACATATCATGGGAACGTTTTTAAAACTAGTATTTTTGATCACGTTGCAGTTTTTTTTGCTACTTTCTATGTTTCCTCCCAAATCCGCCTGTAGGAGGACATGCCCGACTTAATCCTTGACGCCCAAGACGCCCTGCCTCTGGAGCACGCGGGTCTGGACCCCTCCTGAAACAGCACACCTACCGCTTGCTGCGCGAAGAGGTGCTCCATTTTGTCCATGCCGAGAAGTGAATGCATCACTTCTTCTTTCGAGAATGCGCGGATCGCGGAGCCTGACTGAAAGTACGCTCGCTCCACCGAAGGGGCCGATGGAAGCGCTCTCGTGCAACCCTGTAAGACCACATGGGGCGGTGGATCTAATGGCCTTCGGTCCAGCCGGCCAGCGGTCCTGGACTGCAGATCAGAGGCCTCCTAGATGCCCGTGGGGATCTTTTTTGTGAGGCCTCTTGAAAGCCTTTTGGAGGCGGTTTTGGGTTGTCTTGGGATCTCTTGGAGGCCTCTTGGGGCCTCTTTTGGGCCTAATTGAGCTCTCCTGGGGCTTCTAGGTGGCCAGCTGGCGATCTCAGGGGTCATCTTGGGGCGGGGGGCTCAAGATGCCAGTCCGTGTTTCCCCCTCCTGGCCTCCTCTTGGATTCTCCTTCGGCTGTTTTGGGGGCCTCTTGGGCAGTCGTGGCGCCCTCGTGGGCCGTCCTGGGGCCCTCGTGGCGGCCTCTTGGGCCGTCTTGGAGCAATTGTTTGGGCCTCTTGGCCCGTCGTGGTTCAAGGACTCCTGCCTCTTGGGGCCCTTCGAAGTGCCCTCCTGAAGCCCTGTCGGTGCACATTGGAGGCCTCTTGGGCCGTCTGGAGGCCATCTTGGGCTTCCCGGCTGATGCTGGCGAGTCCAACCTCTTGCACAGATGTCCGACTCCCTCTTCGGGGGCGGCAACGAGGGGGTAATGACTAAGGGGGGGGGGAAATATCATGGCGGGGGCCATGATACCTCCCCAGATTTCATGGCGCCTCTTCTTGTTTCAATGCGTCCCCGGCCCCCCCTGGGCCGCGCACATGCCGCCGGCCATGATTTGCGCCGCCCCCTCGTGGACGCCCCCCTCTTGGCCGCCCCCGACCTCTGGCCTGAGAGCCGCAGTCCCAGGCCCAGACCGCGGGGGAAACAGGCCTGCGATGGCGTCGCTCCCGGCCGCCTCCTCGCGCTGCCAGGGCGACTCGAGGGCCAGCGCGCGTCGGGCCCGAGAGGCTGTCTCGGACCCCCCTTGGGGGCCTGCTGGAGCCGTCTTGGCCTGTCTCTGGGCCCCCCTGGCCTCCGAAGGCAGCCCAGCGAGAGCACGCGACCGGCCCCGGCCTGCGCCCAGCGGCGCCCCGGGAGCGCCCGGGAGTCCAGGCTGGCGGCTCCCCACAGAGCATTGTAGCACTCGGGGCCGAGGATTCTAGGGGACCCGAGAGCACTCCACCTCGTGCCTGGGGGCAGGGCCGCGGAGGAGGAACAGGGATGGAGGTGGAGGAGTTGGAGGAGGAGGAGTTGCAGGAGGAGGAGGAGGAGGAGGAGGAGGAGGAGGAGGAGGAGGAGGAGGAGGAGGAGGAGGAGGAGGAGGAGGGAGGAGGGGGAGGAGGAGGAGGAGGAGGCGAGGAGGAGGAGGAGGAGGAGGAGGAGGAGGAAGAGGAGGAGGAGGAGGAGGAGGAGGAGTAGCACCGCAAGGACGAGGACGATGGGATCGAGCCACAGCCCGGCCCCCCTCGACTCGTCGAGGGTACTGCTGGGACGTCTCGAAGTTAGAGTGGCAGAGGGTTTGTCGACACACCGCTTTGCCTTCAGCTGGTGCCTGGCGTGCGCATGAAGGCGCGGATCTCGCGTTCCAGACGTCCCGAGCGTGTGCTCTCGTAGGCCGAGCACTCTATCTTCCTGGGTCACCGCGACGACGACGGCAGCCGCGGCGACGACGGTGACTACCATCGCGGCGCGACAGGCGACCTACCGCACGTACCCAATGCCGACGGACATGGGCAGCATCGGCTGCGAGTACCGCGACCAGGACCCGCTCGCCACCGGCCGCTGCCGCACCGCCGCAGCCGCTGCCGCAGCCGCTGCCGCCGCCGCCGCCGCCGTCGCCGTCGTCGTCGTCGTCGTCGTCGTCGTCGTCGTCGTCGTCGTCGTCGTCGTCGTGTTCGTCGTCGTGTTCGTCGTCGTCGTCGCGTTGCTCTGGCGATGCCAGCAGCTGCCCTCTACAGGCCGAATGCGTGGAAAGTTGGCCGTCTTGTTCGTTGTCCGCATTGTTCCCAACCATCCTGTGTTGTTGGGTCCTCGTTTTGAAGAGACGGACCCCACGTTCCTTCTCCTTCTCTCCTCCTCCTCCTCCTCCTCCCTTCTCCTCCTCCTCCTCCTCCTCCTCCTCCTCCTCCTCCTCCTCCTCCTCCTCCTCCCCCTCCTCCCTCCTCCCGTCACCCCCCTCACTCTGGCACACCTCTCACATGTTTCGTGGCTTCATAACGAGCCCCACCGAAGGCCCCAGTGGCACCGCTCGCATGCAGCAGCCGCCACCCAGCACAGCGTTTCGTGGGCCCATAGGGGGCTCCCCCGAAGGTCCCAGTGGGACCGCCCGCATGCGTCAGCCACCACCCAGCACAGCGTATCGTGGCCCCGTAGGGGGCTTCACCGAAGACCCCAGTGGCACCGCCCTCTTGCGTCAGTTACCACCCAGTACAGCGTTTCGTGGCCCCATGGGGGGTTCCACCGACGGCCCAGTGGCATCGCCCGCATGCGTCAGCCACCACCCAACACAGCGTCTCTGCCCAGTCGCTCCCTGGCGGCACTGGGCTGCCACTGTCCTCTCAGCTGGGCGGGTGTTGCGTTGCCATTTCTGGCTGCCCCACGCTTCCCCGCCGCGTCGTTGTTCCGCCCCGCAGCCCGCGGGCGCTTGGGACGCTTCGCCCAGTGCCTCCCGCCCCTCCTTTCTCCGCTCCCTGGCCACCTGGCTTCGGGCGGTCACGCCGCAGTGTCCCTGTCACTGCCAGCCATCCGCTGCTCCCGCCCCCGCACGGCTCAGTGCTGTGCTTTCTCCTCGGGGCCCGCGGTACGACGTTCGCGGAGTTCCACTGTGTTCCCCCAGCCCCAGGCTCTGACTGCCACTCCCCGCCACCCGTGCCACCGTGGTTCGCCACGGCCGCCCACCGCGCTCTGGCCCTGCGCGCCCGGCTGCTGCTGCCCGCCCGGCTGCTCATCGTCAAATTCTTCGGCGTCTGAGCGTCCTTTTCTCCTCTCGGCCGTCCCCCTTTCCTCTTTGGTCGCTGGCCAATTCGCTAGTTAGTGCCCCAATCTAGCTTCACGCTGGAGCGGATTTCGCCGCCTCGCCGATGACGAAAAAGTTTCGTGGCCCTATACGCCCCATAAGGAGCCCCACCGAAGGTCCAAGTAAACCCGCCCGCGTGCGTCCGCCACCACCCAGCACCGCGCTTCGTGGCCCCATAGGGGGTTCCCCCGAAGGCCCCAGTGGCACCGCCAACATGCGTCAGCCACCACCCAGTACAGCGTTTCGTGGCCCCACAAGGAGCTCCACCGAAGGTCCCAGTGGGACCGTTCGCATGCGTCAGCCACCACCCAGTACAGCGCTTCGTGGCGACAGGGAGCTCCACCAAAGGGCCCAGTGGCACCGCCCGCATGCGTCAGCCACCACCCAGTACAGCACTTCGTGACACCATAAGGGGGCTCCACCGAAAGCCCCAGTGGCACCGCCCGCTTGCGTCAGCCACCACCCAGTACAGCGTTTCGTGGGCCCATAAGTGAGCTCCACCGAAGGCCCCAGTGGCACCGCCCGCATGCGTCAGCCACACCCAGCACAGCGTTTCGTGGCCCCATGGGGGGTTCCACCGACGGCCCAGTGGCATCGCCCGCATGCGTCAGCCACCACCCAACACAGCGTTTCGTGGCCTCGTAGGGAGCTCCACCGAAGGCTCCAGTGGGACCGCCCGCATGCGTCAGCCACCACCTGGTGCAGCGTTTCGTGGTTCCATATGGAGCTCCACCGATGGTCCCAGTGGCACCGCCAGCATGAGTCAGCCACCACCCAGTACAACGTTTCGTCGCCCCGTGAGGAACTCGACCGAAGGCCCCAGTGGCACCGCCCGCATGTATCGTCCACCACCCTGTATTGCATTTCGCGGCCCCGTTGATTGCGATTCCCACCGAACACCAGTGGGACCGTAGGAAATTCCAGTGGTCCGCCCGCATGCGACCTCCACCCAGTATAGCGTTTCGTGGTACAGCGTTAACAGGGAGCTTCGCAGAAAGACCCCGGTGGCACCGCCCGCATGCGTCTCCCCCAACCAATACAGCGTTTGGGGGCCTTAACGGGAGCTCCAGCGAGGGGCACCGCACGCATGTGTCCGCCACACCCTGTACAGCGTTTCGTGGCCCATAGGGAGCCCCACCGAAGGCCCAAGTGGCACCGCCCGCATGCGTCCCCCCCAACCCATTACGGCACGTCCCTCACGTGTTCCGTGACAATTCAGGGAACTCCACCGAAAGAGGCCCCCACAACGCGTTAGTCACACTTGCGTATGGTTGGATCCTTCGTCAGGAATTTTTCGCAACGCCAGAGGTATTCGTGCCGATCCCATTAGTTCTCTTCTAAGAGGAGAACCCTGGGCCCTTACCGTACAGAAGTCAGGTCAGCTTTCGGGCTGCGTGCAACCGCGCTCACCAGGGCAGCTCAGCAGGGCCCAAACAGGCAAACATGTCAAGTTACAGTTTTTTTCCTCCTCCTCCTCCTCCTCCTCCTCCTCCTCTTCCTTCTCCTCCACCTCCACCTTCTCCTCCTCCTCCTCCTCCTCCTCCTCCTCCTCCTCCTCCTCCTCCTCTCTTCCTTCCCTCTCACCTCCCTCTCCCTCCTCGTTCTCTCTCCCTCCTTCCTCTGCCTCCCTCCCCCCTCCCTCCTCCCTCCTCCCGCCTCCTCCTCCCTCCCTCCTTCCTCCCTCCTCTCCTCCTCCTTCTCCTCTTCCTCGTCCTCATCCTCCTCCTGTTCCTCCGCTTCCTCCTCCTCTTCCTCCTCTTCCTCCCCCTCCTCCTCCTCCTCCTTCCTTCTCCTCCTCCTCCTTTTTCTCCTCCTCCCCCTCCTGCTCCTTCTTCCCTCTCCATCCTCCCTCCGCCAATCCTCCTTCCTCCCTCCTCTTTCCTCCTTCCTGCTCCTCGCCCTCCCTCTACTGCCTTGGCGTCTCGGCCGCCCAGCCAGGACATCACCAGCACCGTGGAACAGTTTCTCGCCTGGCGCCCCCCCACCCCAGGGGCGGCGGTCTCCTCCTCCCCTCACTGGGCGCCGGCGGCCGAATAGCCACCCCTGCAAGTTGCGAGGGGGAGGAGGGGCAGGAGGAGGAAGGCGGAGGGGGAGGAGGAGGGAGGTGATGGAGGGGGAGGAGGGAGAGGGGAGGGGGAGGAGTACGAGGACCAGGAGGAGGAGGAGGAGGAGGAGGATGGAGGAGGAGGAGGAGGAGGAGGAGGAGGAGGAGGAGGAGAGGAGGAGGAGGAGGAGGAGGAGGAGGAGTACGAGGACCAGGAGGAGGAGGAGGAGGAGGAGGAGGAGGAGGAGGAGGAGGAGGAGGAGGAGGAGGGCAGGAGGAGGAGGCGGAGGAGGAGGCGGAGGGAGGAGGAGGAGGAGGCGGAGGAGGAGGAGGAGGAGGTGAAGGAGGAAAGGAGGAGGAGGAGGAGGAGGAGGAGGAGGAGGAGGAGGAGGAAGAGCAGGAGGAGGAGGAGGAGGCATAATTATAGTAAAAAGGATTCTTACGCAGGCCGAGCAATTTTTCCTCTCGAGCCCCAAATGTCGCAAGCGACGTGCCGTTCAGGCGAGCGGATACATGTAGCGCTCTCTTCGGCTTGAGGCGTGCCATATGTTATGGGAGGAGATGCGGGAGTTGGCCGGGCCCGCTGTGACGTTCGAGCAACCTTGTGTTATTGGAGGATTTTCGGGAGATGGCCAGGCCCGCTGTGGCGCTCGAGCAACCAGATGCTATGGGAGGAATTGAGGGAGGTGGCCAGGCCCGCTGTGGTGCTCGAGCTTCCGATCTCGACACTTTGCTTGTGTGTCCTCATGCTCCCCGTCCTCCCTCCTCCCTCCTCCTCCCACCACCTCCCTCTTCCCCCCACCTCCTCTTCCTTCCTTTTTCCTCCTTCCGCATCCTGCCTCCCTCCTCCTCATCCCCTTTCTTCCTCCCTCCCCCTCTCCTCCCTGATTGTTCCTCCTCTCTCTTCCCTCCTCCCGTCCCTTCTCCCCTCCTCCCTCCTTCTCGTGCCTCCTCCCTTCTTCTTTCCCTCTCCGTCCTGGGAAGATCCCCCCTCCCCCGTATAATCATAGCTTTGGTCAGCAGATTCAGAGTACGGTGGATCGCATGATGCTTCGCGTGCGGTGCCCCGTGGATCCAATTTCCCCTGGGTCCAGGTTGCTAATTATTAGGATGCATTTATCCCCAGGAAATACATGGATCCATTGGATGCTTACACGAAGGAAATTTGTTCCGCGCAAGACAGAGATATAATCCACGACGCTGTCGCACACTCGAAAAAGGATCCACTTGGATCCGTCGGCGTTCTCATTATTTAATATAAGAGGAAAGAACTTTCGGCTTGGGGATGTAAAAAGAAGGAAGACAATGATACTACTAATGATGCGAATCGTGGTAACATTATTTAATCGCTTCGCTCATTCCGCCGGCCCATATTGTCGCACCGTTGTGGGCTAGCCGAGTTTTGGGGCCTCTTGGGGGCCGTTTTGGGGCCTCTTGGGGCCTCTTTTGGGCCTCTTGGGCGCCTCTTGGGGCGTCTTGGGGGCCTCTTGGGGGCCTCTTGGGGCCTTTTTGGGGCCTCCTGGGCGCCTTCTGGGGCGGAGGGCTCGATTTTTCAGTTCTCGGTTCCCCTCTTGAGCCCCTCTTGGGCCCGTCTTGGGGCCTCTTGGTCCGTCTTGGGCGGCACTTGGGCCGTTTTGGGGGCCCTCCTGGGCCGTTCCGGGGCCGTCTTGGGAGCCTCGTGGGCCGTCTTGGAGCGGTCTTGGGGGCCTCTTGGGCCGTCTTGGAGCGTCCGGAAGCCGGAAAAGCCAAAACACAAAAAACATAGAAAAAACACATGAAAATCAACAATCTTGGCCTCTTGGGGCTCTCTTCGGAGGCCTCTTGGAAGGCTCTTGGGGCGTCTTGGAGGCCTCTTGGGCTGTCTTGGGGGCCTTTTGGGCCGTCTTGGGGTCATCTTCGGCGTCTTCGAGCGCTCTTTGGGCGTCTCGGGGGCCTCTTGGGCAGTCTTGGGGGCCTCTTGGGGCACTCTGAGCGCGCTCTGGGGAGCCTGAGAGGCCGCACCCAGAAGGAAAACCATCTCTGAGTAGACTTGGTCGGGCGGCGGTCGGGGTACTTTTCGCCGGGGGACCCCCAGGGGCCGCCCCGCGCGCGCGAACTAGAAGTACTGTTAATACTGTTAACCAGTTACCGGAGATCTTAGCACGCCCTGGCCCGTTGGGCCGGCGAATTTATAAAAAACGAAGAATAACCAGCATACTACGAACAGCAATAATACTAGCACGACGCAGAGGAATGCTAATACGACGAATGCTTATGCGACGAAGAATGCTAATCATTACAGGATTATGAGCAATAGTGATATTACGAATAATGCTATTAATACTACGCCGAATGTTAATAATGATGGTGCACATCCAGAATACTACCACTAATCATGGCAATCTTAAAAGGACAAGTTCGAATACTACATTTTTCTGTAGCTTAGTACGAAGATATTAAGAAGAGCCCGAGTATCAACCATGAGAAGAGAACGGCTAAGACAAGTCATGATGCGAATACTCATGATAGGAAATGGATGATGATGAGGAGGAGGAGGAGGAAACCACATACGAGAGAGCGTGATCCACCGCCGCCTCTTTAATGTGGAAAGTTCCCCCCTCTTACGCTCTTTCGCACATACTGATAAAAAAGAATGAGAACGCGGATAGCACTAATGAGAAGGAAACCAAGCATAAGAAGGGTACTGCGAACCACCATAATGATAATACTAATACTAAGACTAAACGTACTAATGTACTAATGGTTCGAATACGAGGATGAACAACCCAAAGTAAACTGGTGATCGTGCGAATCAGATAACTCATAAGACGATGTAACATACAATTAGTTATAATAAGAAAACAAGAAAAGACGAATACTAATACTGCTTACACTGGTATTGATAAGAAGATAAGGAGGTGGAGTCAATGCACCCCTTCCGCACAACCATTCTTTTGTCCTGCCTGCTATCTCTCCTTGCACGCGCTGTCCGCAAGCTGTGCTAACTTATTCTGCTCCCGCAACTATATACTTTGGCTCTAGGAAAACGGAAGAGGAGCGAGCCTGCGGCGCGCGCGCGCGTGCGTCGGCCTGCGGGCCGGCTTCCTCCCGTGAGAGTTACCTTAGTGTACGCTTGACGGCGCTGTCCCTTCTTGCCCATGTCATCTGCGGAGCCCACTGATCATGATATATCATCGGAACATCTTGCAGGGATTACGAATGTCCAGGCAAAAGACTGGTCATCAGCCGAAACGAAGGCGCAGCCGTTCGGTTCGCAGAGCGCGGGGTCTCAAGAAGGAGCAGCGTTCGGGCCAACAGAAGATCGAAGACCTTCCGAGCGTAACGCAAGTATAAGCGCCCCAACGAGGCGACCAAACCCTCGTAACTTTCCCAGTGATACAGCATCAGAGACTCTGTTAGACTTGACAGACGGGGATTCATCGGTTGATTCAGTGACCAGATCCAGAGAGCAACGCTCGAGCGGAAGGTATGGCGCAGCCAAAACTTCCGCTGAGGGACCCTCTGAGTTGGCGTCGGTGCACCCTGGCTTTCAGCCATCGATCGACGCAGATTTCGAAATTGAAAAGTTGCTGGAGCATATCCCCATCGAAACATCGGGCGCTGAAAGTTTGCGCGCCGAGCATGCAGTGCAATATACGTTGTGTGGACAGAGTGGGGATGTGAGCGACCTACAGTCTGAAGGGGGCAGTTCCCACTCGATAGAAAAGAATGAGGAATATGCCCAGTTTCGCACCTTGCCGGGTCCGTCGCGTCATCTCGAGCCTCTCCTTGATCTGTGTGTCGGTCTCGCTCCAGACCGTAAAATGATAGAGGCAAGTCAGAGAGCCATCATTGATTCGGACGATGACTGTAGAGGCGGTGATAGCCTCAATGCTCATCGGCACAGCCAACGTCGAGCTCCCCTGACGCAGTGCGCGCGGGCAGAGATGCGCGAGAAGCTACAGGCGTGACCCCCGACCCGCTTACGAAGACACCGAATGATGAGAATGGCGACTTGAACGCCTCGCCCGTATCGCAGGGCCCTTCTAGACCAGATTTCTCGTTGCCCGTAACAGACAGAGATAGAGTGCCAGAACTCGGCGAGCTCGTCGCGCAGGACGAACGAGACGACCTGGCAAGGAGCATGGGCGTTGGCGCCGTCAAGAGGGGCGCAAGAGCGAGAAAACAACACGCGCCTACCCGAAGCAGCGAAAGGGGGCGCTCCAGTAAGGCCCCCAGGGCCGGGCGTTCCAGTTCCAGAGGATTTAATGCATTTGATTCGCCGCGAATGTCATCGAATAGAACCACTGGCAGCTTTTCGGCGCGGGAAGGCCGCTGGAACGCCGGGCCAACGTGCCCCGCTCGAGCGGGGAGTCGGTGTCCCGCGAAAGCGCGCAAACCGGGGGTTTCATGTCGAAGGCCAGTGTGTTCTCAAAAATCGATTGTCCGCTCCGAATGTAGCCTAGCGTGGCTTTGTGATGAGTGCGTCGCGATGGAAGAGCACCGCTGCCATCGTCTCGCGATTCAAGAGTGGGCGGAAAGAAGCGGGCAGGTTCGAGAGCAGCTGAGGGCTGCGAGTGCGCGCGTGCAACGGATTATCTCTGAGGCACAGGTAAATGAGAACGCCGCCGAAGAGACTCAACGACAGCTTGCGGTTTCCGAGGCTGAGAGACAAGCAATTGCACAAAGGATGGTGCATGAGAAAACCACCATTCTGGAACGCGCGCAGAAATTGATGCAGCATGCTGAGGCCAACGCAGCGCGCGTTACAGACGAAGCACATAATTCGGCGTCTTGCTCAAGAGGAAATGGGAAAATTGGGCATTCAGAGCATGGCGGAAAAAGCTGGTGTCTGACTCTCAGCAGAAGGCCGAAGGAGAGAAAGCTGAATGCAGAGAGATGGCGGATGCTGCAAGGAGGGAAGGAGAGAGAAGCCCGAGAACAGGCATC